AGGATGCGAGGCAGGTCAGAGAAGGCCGTTCTGCTGGAACTGAGCCGCAGGAGACAGAGTGGACAGGGACTGTTGGATTAATAAACAGCCCCTGTGGGGAAACCAAGCAAAGGCAGCTTCGAATTACCTCTGGTCGCAGATGGGCAAGTAAGCGAAGGGCTTGAACTGTTTGATTTTGTGGCAGTGTGAGGAACCAAAGAGCTTCATTTTGTGTGTGCTAGAAATATGTCGCAGCAGGAGAAATTAACAGCGAATGCTGCAGGAAACTGTATCACAGAAATATTTCTGAAAGGGTTGAAAATGACACACTGGTGTGTGCAGGGCCAGCGAGAGGCCATTTTGGGAGAAAAATTATTGATGTAAAGAGAAGAACATGAACAAGGAGGAAAAGAGAGATCCTAAAAGAAGTTACGAAGGTCAGATGTAAGGATCTTTGCTCATTTTCTGACCAGAAAATAAAGCATAAAGTACTTATTTCTGATAGAGGAACACCGAAAAACTAGCGCAGCACGCACTGAAGAAAGAAACAGCTCTTCCAGATACTTATATGCATGTCAAAAGCTTAGGGGTGTCTTGCATGATGGGCTTATTTATAAATTTACCTGCATCATCAGTCCACAGTTCTAGACAGAGCTCATTTTGTACAGAATCAGACCCTGGCACACAAAGCAGAGGTACTCTGTTGATCGCAGTGGACACACAAAGGTGAAACAGGTCCCAAGTGCTTCTTGAAGACAATCATTCTTCACTTTTAATCCAAATCCAAACCATCAGATGTTCAAGCTCAAAATTAAATAGCTTTCTAATAACATTTAAACAGTGAAAATGTTGTGTGCCTACGTAACCAACAAAGAAGAACTTCTAGCCTTTTTTAAGATGAAAGAACTTCCCCACAGGGCTGAGAAGTGTCTGTCCAAGAACCAAAGTAATCACTTGAAAATTTGCAAGCTATTACAAGTATTCAAAACAGAGTTGTTATGTTAACTCAGCACTGCTGTTATTCACAAAAATGGCTAAAATATTCCAGCTACACTAACACATAAGCTTTTCCCAAGCCTCCCTATACCATCTTCCATCTTCTAATACATCTTTGACACTGGCATACATGCTTTCTTTTTGTAAAATAACTCCCTATGAGGTCTTGTTTTCTTTTCAAAGCATGACAGTGGAAAATAGAAAATTCAAGTCACAGAGCTTCCTTCTGAAGATGGCTAATGGTAAAAAAATTCCACCTGGTAACAGTTTTTTATTTAAGAAGAGCCAAGTTAGCTCTGCTGTGTCTAGCAGTCACTTTCCAGCTGATGGGCAGAGAACTTTATATGTCAAAATACAAACACAAAAAAATTTAATCTGAAAACAAGAGATGACAATCAGATCCTGTGCATTCCTTTTAAGGAACTACATTAGCACATTGGCACATATAGCAGCCAAGCTGGTGTCACTGTGAAAATAAATGGCACTGAGAATTGTGTTGCTTATAGTGCATCCTTGAGCAATAAGAGAACATGCTGAGGTCAGAAGTTTCATCTACTCAAAGAAAGCAGAGACCTCTCCTAGGAAACAAAAGCCTGAAGAACAACTGTCGAAGTTATGAAATCAAGGGATATTCTGGGTGTTAAATTAATTCAGAAGACTTTACCTACACTATAGGAAGGACAGACATGTCTCTAGCACAGACTGCTCATACAACACATCTTAGGCTAGCACCAATTTTGGTGGAGGGACTAGTTACCTGAGGAGGTAAATACTCTTTTCCATGACAAATTATTATTATGGACTTCTCAGAGGCTTGGAAAATTAGCACCAGTGGAAAAAGGCAACATATATCACACAGATTGTTTGTACAAAACCTCAGACTGATATAAAATTAGATACATATTTACAGACTGTCAATAAGAAAGTTTATCGATCAGTAAGTGGATCAGTTCATGAGGAAATGCTGCCTACTCACGTCTATTTACTGCACTGCACATAACTCATATGCTCAATCCAGATAAGAAGAGCACATTGACAAAGCAGAGCAAAAAGGCTCTCCATACCTCACCCTTCAGCCTCAATCTGGCGGCACAAAGATTTAAGTTCTATAAGCATGCCTTACCTACAAATACCTGTTTCTTATCCTGATCAAAGAGGCACAGGCACTGAAAAAGCTACATTCTGCCAACCACTGAAAGACATCCTCTCTCCAAACACCAAAATCCTCCATTTTTTTCTTAGCCAAAGTGTTGCAAGTTTAGCCAGGTAGATTCTTTACCACAAGAGGCAGTTTACAAACACTAGAAGACATACCCCTTGGCCTAAAGTCCCAGGAATATACCCTTTCAATATTCTAATTGTCATAGCAATAGAAGATTAGGCACGTGTGGCATTTTCTGGAAACTAAGGGACTATTTTATTTCCAAATAATGTATACTATTATTTCCTACTAGTAGTATCACTTGAGGAAAATCTGCCACTTGCAGTGTAGGAGAACATAGACATAGGCAGCACAATGAAAGCAGAAAACCTCATGCTATAATGCATCATCCTCATACTTGGAAGAAACTCAAATAGAAAAGTTTCTGATGGACAAGGCTGGCACACATTATATTTGAGACCTTGGCCTCATCTACAGGGTTTTTGGAGTTAGGAAAACAAAAGTACCTGGCTTGAACTCTGTAGAAAGAAATTAGTAAAAGAACTTACTGAAATAATACCAAAATCCAGCACTGACTACAAAAGCATAATTGGTGCTAAATAATATAAATTTGTGCCTGCATACGCCTGACAACTGACCAATAAAAAACTGTGATCAATGTTTTTAAATATACTATGAACAGAACACTCCTTCAAAATATTGTTTACATACAGTTATGACAGAATACTGTGGGTTTTGTGCCTCTCTTTACAACAGTTAAAATAAAACAAGCATGTCTGTGCAAAGACAACACAGTATATCATCTCAGTTCCAAGGACTCCTACTAAACAATGAAAAACATAGTGGTGATTTCTAATAAAACAACGTTTCTCCCTTGATACAGTGAAACACCCTCTGTACTGGAAAATTCATTCTAACATTTTCAAGTTAATTGTTTTCTTCCACATTTGCACTGGACCAACTTTTGGACTCTGGCTCCATAACTGAATTTCCTCCAGCTGAATTAAGGTCAAGAACAGTATTCATACTGTGCAAGGGAAGTTTAAATCCTGCTGGGGAAAAAAAAAAAAAAGGCAATGTAAATAAAATGCTATTTACATGATATGGCAGTACTTGTATGAATACCTTAGTACTTACACATTATTTTCCAAAACAGTTAAAAATTCATGAGTTAAAACTATGACAATTTGATATATGAGGGTTTGCATTTTACACATTCCTTGCATTAACTACTTGGACATTAGTTATATGTTAATAATTATTATGCACACACATCATTAATGCTCAGCTGTGGACATGTGGGAGAAAACTTTCAAATATTAGGAATGTCTGAAAGGTTATTTCTTCTTAAAGGATGAAAACAATCCCATGTTAGCCTTTGTAATTAATATTGTACATTTCCACACTGTATATTAAATATAATAATAAATCTAAATGTTAGAAGATAATATTTAAATTGCATTGATACCTATAGTCTGTGCCAGGCCCCCCAGTTGACAAATTCATAAGAAACATACTGCCACCCTCCCCATACGACTCTATTTGCCAAAGCTGGCATTTAAAAATGGAGACGGGCATACAAGAGGTTTGTGTCAATTTACACTAACAGAAGGACAAATTTCAAAGGTCTTAACACTATGCCACTCAAGTCATATAAGTTTTGCTGCTAATTTCACAAAAAGCAACCCTGTATTCATGGCTGTTATGTGAACAAAATCCTTCTCCCAATGTAAGGGATCAGTCTCTGCACTTAACAGCCTACAGAACTTGCCCACTGCTTAATGCTGTATTGGGATTAACTGGCTGCTGGAGGTTTGTTTTCTTTTGTTTGTTTGTTTTAATTTAAACATGTTAACAAGGTGTGAAAGCTTGTATTATTATTATTGCCAAAGCTCTGAGAAACGTCCACTCTCAAAAACTGCGGACAGTTTTCACAATGAGGCTGTGAGAATGTAACAGAGAGATCTTGGTGAGATAGATGCCCCATAATGCTTCCTTCGGTCAAGGAAGCCACTTAATGGTGACGCATATCAAAGGCAATTTTTTGTATCTAGAAGCAAGGAAGTTTGATCACGATGCCCTCAAACCAGGAAAATGTCTCCAAAACATTTAACCTGAGAAGCCACCATGAATCAGAAACAGACTCATTTCTTATCATAGCCAGTATTCAGTAAGAGTATTCTGCAGTTTGTGGGTTAATGAAAAGTTATTAACCAAAAGATTTTTACAGCTCCAACATAGGTTGATGTATCAGTTGAGGACGCTGGATTCCCATGCCTAAGAGGGACATAATTTTATACAGGATATATTCGGTCAACAGCAAAAAAACAATGTAGCAAGTAAAGTACTAGATACAGCTTGTCTAAACTACAAGAAACTACGACATATACTTTTAGAAGGTCACACCTGTGTTTAAATGAAACTACAGAAAACATCTTCTAGCAAATAGCAGCTGCAAATACATTGTCTTAATGTCTTTACTATCATAAAAATTCCTGTAACATGAGCGGCTAATACACAAAATCTTGCAAGAAGTGAACATTTCTCACGAGAAGCTTAAAAGGTATTAAAGCTTCTGCATCTCTCTAACGTCATTCCCGTTAGACACCTCAGAGAGGACGAGCTGCTGGTAAAGAGGTCTTGCAAAACGAGGCGCTCCCTCAAACCAGAGATCATCTGAATCAATTACTGGCTTGCATTCTGAGATGCATTTTGCCCAAGTCTACAGCTATAGTTAATACCCTACCAAAAAAAAAAAAAAAAATGCTGAGAGAGCAGGAAAGAAAGAGTTCATAGCCTGAGCACCACCACCTGCCATTTCTCATCTTATCTGAATTTGTGTTGAGATCGAACGTTTCCTGACGGCGACAAGGCACGAAGCCGCGCAGTGCCGCAGCCCTGCCTCCCCTCCCGGCAGCCGCAGCCCTGCGCCCGGCCGCGCTCCGACCCACCGAGACGCATAAGTTTACGAGGAAACGGGAGGTATGTGGCATTTCGGAGCTACACGAGGTCTGCTAATCGGGCTGTTACGCCGGTCTGGCGGTGCAGGAACAGGCTCCCTTCCCACCCTGGCTCCAGGTACAGCTCCCGCCGCCTTCCAGTCGGGCACAGTGCGGCGCTGCCGGAGCTGCGTCCCGCGGGAGCCTCTCCCTGCACCTGCCCCGCACGGCAGCCACGGAGCACCGCGGTAAGGGTCAGCCACGGAGCACCGCAGTAAAGGACAACCACGGAGCACCGCGGTAAGGGACAGCCACAGAGCCCCACGGCAGCATGGCAGGGGCGCGCCGCCTGCCCAGCGGTGTGCGCGGAGCACTGAACCGCGCCGAGAGCCTCGCTCTCCCGGCCGTGGGAAGGGCAGCAGGGAGCACCTACCGGGAATGGCCAGGTTGGTGAGCGGGGTGCTGTGGAGGCTGCCGGGCAGCGCTGCCATCCAGTCGGCGAAGAGCAGCTCGTTCTTCCCTTGCGATGAAGCCATCCTGCTGCCACCGCCGCCGCTCGTTCCAACTCGCGCGGCTCCGGTCCTGGCCCCAGCCCCGCCGAGCCCGGGCCCCGCCCGCCCGGTACCGCCTCCCCCCGCCCCGCCGAGCCCCCGCCGCCTCCCCGCGGCGCGGCCGCAGCGCCCTGCGGGCGAACTCGCCCCCTGTACCACGGAGGGAGCGGTGTCACGGCCCAGCCCCGGCGGGTCCGCACCGGGCACCAGCCGGCCCGCAGCGCTCCGGCCCCATCGCGCCCGCCCCGGGCCGGGCGGCGGCAGCAGAGCCCGACCGGGTGTCGGTGCCCGGGATGGCGTTCGGGGCCCCGGCGGTGCCGCCCTGCGTGGCCCTGGAACTCTGCGACATATCCCTGACCTCGGCCGTGGGTCGGCTGAGTGCCCCGTGGGGGGACCCGGCACCCTGCACAGCCTCGGCTGCCTCTGCTGCGAACGTCTGCTTTTGCAGCAGGTTACTCACATGAAAAAAAAAAAACAGTACACCTTAGTTGAACACTCCCGGGAGATCTAATTTTTTTGGCAATAATTTTTTATTTTCTTTTTGAGGATGATCCAAAGTACTATCTTCTATTCTCATTTCTAACCTGTCTTTGGAGAAGCGTTTTAATGTTGGCATAACAAAGCAGATCTGGCTGCCTCCAGATCCATGAATGAATGAACCTGGCAAAGCTCTGTGAGCCATTTTGAACTGTTACAACAAGCCTGGTCTTTTTGACTTCAATGTGTCTGAAAACTTCCATTTTTCATCAGAGGCGTTGACACGTGTGTAGAAGTTCATATGGTAGATCGTGGGAAACCAAACAGGTGTTCAGGTTGTAGGTGTCGGCAGCAGATCTGTCAAAAACAGTACCTGGACAGAACCATGACTGAGACAGGTTCAGTTTATCCATTCACCTTGATGTGAGCAATTCCTAGGAGGGTCAGCTCTGGTCCTGTATCCTCTGGTCCTTGTGTTCTCATTTAATGGCTGCTATAACAACTGGCTTTGGAAATAAAATTTCAGGGAACAACTAATAATAATTCACCTTTTTCTTTCTCTCTAAGTTTCCAGAGCAAGTATAATGAGAAGCTCTTCCTTCAACCACAAAATAAAGGAACAATTTCTTGGAAAGCGAGTGACTACTTATGAGGTATTTAAATAAAGGAAATTTTGCTGACTCACTTTTTGCAACAGAAATAGCTCTTAAGGTGGGGTTTGCTTGGGAAATGTGATCAGATGGTTGACCTTGGGGGAGATGCTGAATCTGATTTGAGCAATACATGAAAAACAAGAAGGAGAAAACAAACAGCCACCAAGGCCATTAAAGTTTTTGGAGTATTGCATCCTGCCTATTAAGATGCTAATCTGCTCCTTCCAAAATCACTGGTATTAGCAAGCATGATAAAAAAAAAGACAAACCCACACTTTGGACAGAGGACATAAATCCCACTAATGACTTTAAGGTGGAAGATACTACTTTACATCATCTTCAAAGAACAGGAAGAAATTATAGTTAAAAAAATTAAGATTTCTAAGGAGCATTCCAGTAAGGAGCGATGAATGTTTTTATCAACATGATTGAATCAAATCAGTTTAAGGGGCAAGGTTATGCATGAATTGCACTGGTTACCTGGAAAACTGCTGCTGAATTTTTATCCTATCCACTACGTGTTCTACTTTTTCTGAGAAAAAACTGAAGTATACATCTTTTTGAAAGGTTAAACATGTTGTTATTACTGTTGTTGATCTCTTCTGGTCTCTGAAGCTTTGGGTGTAGCTCAGAGCAACATAAAACAAATACCTGAAAACCCATGTAATTTTAAAAGGTATTAATATGTATAATAATGCCTAAAACTACCTCTCAGTAATGCTTTCTACTCTACTGGAGAACTGTTTATATCCCTCTGTGAGTAATTAGAACTTTTGTATCTTTTTTCTTTTTTTTTTTTTTTGATGCCCAAAGTAAGATTCTTCATAGTCTGGATTTTCAAACCATGGATCCTTTGCTTTGTGAAAACCAGTCAATTCTAACATGTCTCACACAAATTGTGTTTCAAAAGTTTTGGCTCTGTTTCTAATGCAGTGTAACTGCTAAGATAGCAGGCTTAAAATCTGTCATTGAGTCTCTATGAACTTGGGGAAACACAGGCTTGAATAGTTTGGAGAGAAATGGGATAGGAAAGGAAGCTTTTATGGCCCAGGATATCAGAAACATTTATACAGCAACCTAAGAAACATTGACTTGGAAGCTTTGACTTTAAAGAAAAAGGTAGTTTTGGGAGCCTTTCAGTAGTTTGAGACCTCAGAATTTCTCTCTGTATCTGCTTGGGAAGAGTTTAATTTAAAAAACCCTAAAATATTCTTTTATCATGATTGAAGGGCTGCATACTACGGTTTAGCTTGAATCTGTCATTTTACTAATTTTAACTGATTTATAAAAAATGGTAGCCTGTAAATCAAAATCAGAGTATCCATACAAACTTTTGTTCTTATTTAAAAAAATTAAACCCCACATTTTTTGTCAAATTACTGAAATCCTTACACATAACAAGTCTGAACTGTGAAAGAAAGTAGATCCCAGGAATCAAATATTTTAAAAGCTTAGGAGGTACCAGGTACAATGAAAATGAAAGGCAGGGCCAAGGTACAGAAAAATACCATCTTTGCTCTTTTATTCACAGCTACACTGACCTCACTGAAGATGCCATGAAGTGAAGGAAAATTGAAATCGTGCTGCCTGTTCATCATGTATTGTGTTCTCTCCAGTTTGCAGCTATAACAGTATGAATGAATAGAGGCACCTCTGCTTCCATGGAACAGCAAAACAGAGTAATTTAGCCAGTAGGAATGTCACTTCAGCACTCAAAATTAATTACACTGTTAAAAAAGACTTTCCATTGTTTTTATTTCCCTAAAAACCCCAGCATTTTAATGGTAAACATTCACTGTTACATTTTCTCATTTTAACAGTCAGATACTTTACCTTTCCATAAGTCCTTGGCATCTATTTTAATCATGTGAATAACAAAGGATCTTTTTCTGTAACTACAGAAAAAGGTAAAAGAAAAAATGACTTAATGTCATTTACAGACTTAACTACTTTCTGTAATTTTCCTTCTTTATCTGATTTATTTACTCTAAATCTATTGTTACTGAATTCAAAATGAGGTTCTGAACAGAAGAATTACTGTTATTTAAATATTTTAACTTTTACAGTGGATTTTGCTCCTGAGGTTTGGTTCTTCCTCCTTCTTACAGCCCATTTCTATTAATAGAAGTTTTTCAGAACAAATCCTGGCTCCCATTCCATGTTTGCAGCTCCCATGGCTTTAAACGACTCCATCAGTAACGCTGGGGGTCTAAAGCCATTACAGCTGTTTGCAGCTGAGTTCCCAATTATATTCTTGTTACTTGAGAATGCAGTGGATCCGCGGTATTCTCAATTTTGTTACTTTTCATGGCTAACAGTTATGAGAAGTAATTTTTATTTATATGACAAGCACATAAAACCTCAAAGAGTCAAAGTAAGTAGACCGATTGAATGAGATAATTTTTTAAATGACCATGTGGGTGAATAGAAGCAGTGACAAGTATTTCATTGTCATTTCATACCTCATCTGGCTACTTTGACAAGCTCACTTTGCATTCATTAAGCAATTTCTGTTTAGCAGTATTCGTCCTGTCAAAACAGCTTACAAAATTTCTCAGTAGTGAGAAAAAAAGCCTTGTAGAAACAGGGAAATAGTATTTTCTTGTTTTATGGGAAAGAATAAGTCTGTTTCAGTTTTACAAGCAAAAGAAAATGTAGTTTATTCTGTACTGTGATTTGTTATTCTCTACTAAGAAAATCTAAGCATCTTGCTGGTGCCAATAATGAATCTGAGAAGAAACAATATTTGTTCTGAGCAGCTGACAAACGTAAGGATGATGTTAGCGTTATCTCCACTCTCTTGAGGTGAATTGCAGAGGCTGTGAACATGATGGGTTAATATAAAGATCCAAGGCATGTTTTTACTTGCATACTTTATAAAGAAAGCAGAGACATTACAAAAATATACAAATAATAAAATAATTAGAGTGTATGACAAGACAGTTTGTTATAGTTAACCAAATTCTGGAAACTTGAAATAAAGAGGATAAAAGAAAAATCATAGTATTTGTATCCAGTCCTCAGGTGGAAATCAATTTCACCCTAGCTACTCCTTTCTACTTTTCAGGTTTCTGGAAAAAGGTTTTGTCTTTTTCTTTTCTAACTTTGTCATGTAGAGTCCTACTGTGTCTCACCTAATATGTTTGCTTAAAGGCACATCAGTGGCTACTTTTTTTACCTGGCTGAAACCAAACAAGTTTGGTTATGTTGGCATTACTGCAAAGACTCACTGAGAGCAGCAATGGCAGAACATGAAAAATCCTATTTTCTTATAGCCAGTGCTGTAAGATCACAGCAAAGTATGCTAATTTGGTACAGGGAGAGAGAGATTGGCTTTTATTTCTAAACCAATTTGATAATGTTTAAAAGTTTTCTATAGAAGCTCATGAACATTTTGTCATTAACAAGTTTCTCTGTAACTTGAAGGACCCATGTTCAGCTTGGTTAAGAACTTGCAGAGAAAGCTTGATTCAAGCATTTGAATTTGGTAGAAAACCATTGGTGGTTTTTTTTTTTTTTAAAAAAAGAGCTAAATGAGTTTAGTGGTGGAGTTAGCCCAGGCAATGCAGAAAGAAGCTCTACAAGGATTATGAAGTGCTGATCATAATCCTTGTAACTTCCCAATGTATTGTTGACACGGTCACAAAAGACTTTATCAATATGAAAGTATCTACCTTTGTTAAAAAAAAAAAAAAAAAGACTTGAAAGCCTCAAACCAACCTTTTCCCAGCAGTATCAAAAAAAAAAAGAGACGTTTTCTAGGCAGTCAGATATTCTCACGACTCTAGTTTTGGCAGAAAACACAGCCCTTTGTCTGAATAGAAAATTTTGACCAGTCTAACTAAAATCTTTAAAAAGTAATAGCAGATAAGACATTTCAGAAGGTTGTATGGGTGCTGAGCTACAACCTTTGGGGTTGTAACTAGCACAGACAAATTAGGAATGTTCAAGGCAGGGTAAAAACTGTTTAAAAAAAGTGTTAAAAATGCAAGAGAGAACCAAGCAAAATAAAAAAGCTATTTTCATAGACTATACATTATGGTATCACATTTTTGTAAGAAAAGACAAGGTCATACGCAGAAAAAACAGTGAAAGGAGCAGGAATGAAATGGATGAGAGAATCAGAAGTGGACAGTGCTTGCAGGATTTTACAGGAGACCACCAGAAACGTATGTGTAAGCCATTTAGGATGCAGTTCAGACCTGCCATGCACTGTATTTAGAAACTGAGGGAGAAAAGGAAAATAATATTAAAGTACTTTTTAATTTGTCACAGTATGGAAATTAATTGCTATAAAAAAGAAACTCTCAGATTTTACCTGATTTTACTGTTTCTTTACCATCAAGATATTTAGAATGACATTTTGTAATTGATCTTGGCTGCGACTGAGCAGCACATATGCACTATGTAGTTCCCATTTCTTTGCTGTATGATCAGTCAAACATCAGTCAAACCATTCATGTCCTGTTATTTAAAAGAGGTTAAAAGAAATGGGAACTGCATTAAATGAGAAAATAGTGAAAGCAAATGAATGTATAATGACTGTGTAAGCAATGAATATTAGGAAGTAATTAAGTATTTTTATTTCTGTGCCTGTTGGAGAATAGTTCAAAATCAGTGAAAATAATGAAAAAAATAGTATCAGTTGGTTAATAGCTAATGCATCTACCATGCTACATATCCTAAGTCACTGGAGATGAAAAGTCTTTTTTATTTTTAAATAGAAAAGATGATGGATGACACAGAGACTTTCCAACAGGAGCTGCAGAGTGTTAACAGTGGTCAGTTCTACTCTTGGCAACTGGAGTCATGTTTCATGAAAGATGCATGTCTGCATCCTGGATGAGGCTTTCCAAACAAGCTCTTGCTGTTTGCATGGTAATGAAGCATTCCCCAAAGGTGTTGAAAATAGTCAGCAGGACTAATGAGATTTTAGCACAAGGCTCAAATCAGTATGCCAGCCACATTTCACAGGCTGCAGTCAGTGCCAGCTGCAGGGATGAGAGGTCATGTTCCTTTTCAATTACACCCCCTTCATGATAGGCGGGAGCAGTGCAGTGTTTCCAGTTTGGCATTTGCAGGTTGGATAGTACAGGTGCAGGGGTGTCTTGACCCCAAAGAAAAATGTGGTACATCTGGCTTCTGTAGGGGAAGAGGTAGGAAGAGGGTGGCAGGGACACTAAAGAAAGAAATGACAAGTATGTATGAGAAGTCAGTGGCAGCATTGTCCCACTCCACTTTGTGATGTGAAGGAATGCTACGTGGTCATTATTCAAAGGTAACATCCTGTGCAAAAATATAAAACTTCTTACTTGAAACTGGGGATTTTTATTCTTCTAGCTGAAGAAAATAAGGTAAGAGAGAACAAATCATGTAACAAGAGAAGTGAAAAAGTGAGCAGTAACAAAGAAGGGAAAAGAATCCCCCAAAGGATGGAGAAATTTGATATCCAAAGGTGGGGGTATCACCAAGAGTTTAGAGACCAGTTTCTGGGGTTTATCTCTGCCCCTGGATGTCCATCCTCTGGGGCAATGACGTGAAGAAGATAGTCTTGTTTTTCCTTCAGAAAGCATCTGTTCCAATGCCATTTAATTCTGGTTCCTCTGGACTCATCTCCATGTCTCTGTCCTTTGAATTGCTTCCTCACCCTTGGCCTTCATCAAATTAAATTATGCACTAGAGGTCATCTGTTGTAATTTTTAAGGGCAGAAGGGTTTCTCACCAAAAGTGGAGTCTAAATTCCAAATCTCACTTGCAAATCCAGAGTATGACTAAAACAAAGCCCCAGTGCGTCCCACAATGGTGCTGGGCAGCTCCTTTTCTTTACCCATCAACTGAACTCAGCATACCATCACTTTGCCTTAAACATGTCTGATTTTTTAGTTGTTCTGGGTTTTTTTCAGACACTCAGGTTTTTTCTAAATTTTTTCAGATACTCAGTTTTTTTCTACAATTCTTTTTGGGCAATAAGCAATCCGTTAAAGAAATAAATGTTCTCTCTCCTTTCCACAAACCAGCTGCTTTCAGTGTGTGTTGTTGCAAGGGCTGGACGGGTCAGAGCATGACTGTGCTATAATGTGCAGTGTCTGCTCTTCTTCATGTTGGCTCCAGGCCCTGTGAAGTCAGTGGGGGCTCAACCAGACAAGACAATGAAAAGTGAAAGAATTCTGCAGAAATCTGCACACAGACATACAGACTTCAATGATATATTCTTTCTCATGGGGGTGAAGCAACAGATTTCCATTTTCTACTGTTGTGAAAAACAGAAACTTAGTTCAGCCATCATACATGCTGTTTTCTTTCACCTAGGGGGAGTTCCAAGGTCTTTTCCTTGTGGTAATTAACAACTTTGCAACCCCACAGTGCCTGCAAAGGCACTGTGAAACAAAGGCAGCTCAGGGAGACTTGGAGAAGAGGAATAACATGGAGAGGAAAGCCCCATGTTCAGTTTCATCTCTCTCTGGACAAATGAAATGACCTTTCTGAGCGGAGCACAGTGGCAGAACATAACAAAGTATTCGTTATTACACTTAATTAATGTAATTTTAAGTGCTGGGTTCAATTTGAAGACAGGATTCTTCATGAGTTGAAGTGTGGTACAGTTCTGTGTAAATCAGCAGATTTTTACAAGCGTACATATGTAAGAATGTCAAAATCATACAATTCATATTTATGAATAGAAGTAAATGTACATGGATTCTAGGCATAAGTATTTTGTTTGAAATCTCTGTGTGGAAATGATTCAGCAGCAGCTAAATTGTAAAGGTAGAATGCTAAAGTCTCCTCGCTGTTACGTTAAGCTTATGCCATCTGAGAAATAGGAGCACTGATGTGCTATTCCACAAGCCATATGAAGTGAAAGAGACAGCAAAACTCTGTCCCATTTTTA